AAAAAAAAAGAAATATTTCCTAATGTTCACTGTGATCTCTTTTACCTATAAATTTCTGAGAAGTCCACTGTTTCATCTCCACACAGAGATGTTTGACCTCTTAGGCTGTCTTTTTTAAAACCGATCGCTGACTTTACTCCAGCCACGGTGCCTTGTCCATGTGACTTCAGTTCTTCAGCCTTGAGACTTGTCCTTTGGTCTGCCGTGAGTTAGCACTGGTGTGTTAACAACAGCCCAGTACAAATCTACCCCTTTCTCTGTCCCTCTCTGTCTGCCCACTTCTAAGAATTTCACTCACAATAATATGATTGTAAAACTTAAGATTCTTGGAGGTCACTAAATAATGCTGAAAGCCTCAACATTTTAAATGCCAATGAGCCATGTCAAATCTTACGAGAAAGGTATTTTCAGACTGAGGAGATAGCTCAGTGGTCTAAGCCCCTGCTTGGCAATCACAAGGACCTGGGTTCGATCTCCAGTACTGCATGTCATGCTGGCCCAGGAACCCCGGGCGCCCCGTGCAGGCCACCAAAATTGGACGTGGTGGTGCATGCCTGTAATCCCAGCGCTGGGAAGGCTGAGATAGGAGGATCACTACAAGTCTGAGTTGTATGAGACCCTATACCACATAAATAAACAAGATTTTTTAAAAAAAATTTTAAAAGGATATTTTCTTCTATGTGTATAAATGATCAAATTCAAGTTTAGTAAGACCAATGGACTTCTTAATCTAGATTTAAAACACTGAAGCAGAATTGGAGAAAGGCCCAAAGAATCATAAAACTTTAAATGTACTTTTTTCCTATGTGGAAGGTCAAGACAGTGGTCTGCTGACTGTCGCAGAGCCAGGTGATCCTATAGATATGCAGGAGTGGTACTCGGAGTTATAAAAGAAGGCGCCCACATCACATAAGGGAGTAGGGCTTACCTGCAACAAAGACAAAAGCCCACGTAGCCTACGCGTGGGTGCTCGCTGCTGTGCTGACCAGCTGGCTGATGGCTGCCCCAGGAGCCGTGCGTGAGTCTGTGAGGCAGGCACTCGTTGTCTGGGGGGTTCCTTCTGACTACTGCACGTAACCAAGTACACTGCGGACCTCAGCACGCAAAGTGCCAGGGAGAGGACGGGACTGACACTGCGTTAGGCCAGGATGGAGCGGCGAAGAATATGGTTCTGAGCACAGGGCCAAAGTAGGGAGCGCGGCATTAACCTGGGGCCCCAATCCTGTGGTCCTGAAACATCCGGCAAATGGGAACAGGGTCAGAGACGTGCTGAGAGAGCAGAGGGGAAAGATGTTCTGCGCTTAAACATACTGTCTAGGGAAAAAAATTTCATGGATATAGAGAATCCGGGCTTGTGTGAGGACTGGGGAAAGGAGCAGCCATAAACGTGCGGAAGAGGCCCGCTGTCGGCGTCTCTCCAGGGTTTGCTAGGTTGGGGCACGTGATTGACGGCCTGTGGGTGTGTAGCTGCAGGCACACGTGCGCGCGCACAGTACACAAAGATGTGCACACAGAAATAGCAACGTGAAGCCAGCATGTTCCATAGAGCCCCGCCTAAAACACGGAGCCCCGCGAGTCCTAGACCCACGGTCCGAGGGGGTTTGTAGCTCTGTCTTCCTCACCTTCCTGCTCCTGCGGTGCCTCGGGCAGGGCTCTTGTGGGAAAGCCTGTGGCCTCCTCAGGTCCTTGCTGATGTGACCGCAGGTCTAGGCCTGCACAGGGCCTGCTGGACTCCCAGGAGCACGTCAGAGCTTTCATGACTGTCT